TATAAAATGTTAGAAAACAGCAAAAGGTGTTGTTGTAGTCTAGAAGATTGCATGTCTTATTTATTATAGAAAATCATCAGCAAATCATCATCTTGGAGAGAATGAGACCAGAAAAGACTGACAAATAGATGAGTATGTAGCTGATGGACACGGCAAACATTCTGTCAGATGTCTGCTTTTTGTGATTACCTCTTTGCATAACTCTGAGTTACATAAATTTATTAGACTTGGCAACAGTAGAACTTCTGTTTGTCAGAACACATTTATCGCTCAACGTAGAAAATTTCATTGAACTCTGAACTTACAACTTGGTGGACAGAACTTGGTCTCCTGTGGCAACTAAAATGAGAATATGATTCACATTTTTGAGATTTATTTGTGAAGACCTGGCTATAAACCCTTAAACATTGTGGTCTCGTAACATCAATGAGCAGCTAAAGTTCAATGTGATTCTGAAATATTGGTGTCTTTTTTTTGCAGCTTTAATCCATACAGTAGTCATGCAGAAAAACCCGGTTAACCTTCCTTGTCGTCGCTCTGTGGAGGGTTCAGTGACGTGGAGCAGAGAGATCAATGGAAGTAAAGTCAAGTTGATTACTGCTACTGGTCGTGGAGACATTCGACACAATGATCCAGACAGACGATACGGCTCCCTGGCAGATAAATTTAAGTCACTGCATATTGTCAGAGCATCTGTGTCAGACTCTGGAAGATACTTCTGTGACGATGAACCAGCTGCAGATCTGACAGTGATCCCATCAGGTAACATCAAACTCTATCTGCCTCTGCTAAATGTTTGATTTCAAATATAAATGAGGTGTCAACATTACGGTCATGGTTGTTGATTTAACTCATCTCTATGTATAAAATGTCCTGTTTGCATTCCCTCCACGTCTGTACTTCATGTGACACATTCACTAAGGATAAGCAGAGTCTGTGCTTTATTTCTTAGGGTTAGAGTCAGCACATATAACTGTTGAGCCTGCTGAACAACAGCAAAATGTTCCTCACTGCATCCTGCCTTGAATATCATTCATCTAATCCCCCTAAATGCTCCAAACTTGCTCAAACTTGATAACACAGCCTCAATAATTCTCAAGCAAAAAATGAGGAGGAATAAATATGCAGAGCGGGGAAAAACCCAACACAACCCACGTCACTGAGCTGCAGATGCACACTGGGACTAATATTATCACAGGGGCTGCGTGTCTGGCACAATATAGTGGGTCACTGGGGGTGGAAATGTTACATTTTACAAACTGCAGACATGACACATTCACATGGACTTAAATGACCTCTGCAAATATTACAGATTACTAGATGTCCCTAGGTAATACTATTCCCATGCAAGGTTAAGGTTAAAATTACTGATCAGGATTGATCAAAACGCTACGAGATTGTTCCTGTAACAAACAAACACCGGGCTTGATTTAAATTTTGCCACTATCTCTGTCAAAGTAGTCTCCTTGTGCAGTGATACACTGCTGCCAGTGCTCCGCCAACATTTGTAAAGCTCCTTGGACGTAAACATGTCAAGTACCATCTGTGATGAGCACTGAATCTCTTAAACTGTGTCAAAATGGCGCCCCCTGAACTTTTATTTTGGGGAAGATAAAGACATCAAAAGGAACCAAATCTGTTGTCATACACAACAGTCACAGAACTATTTTAACCACCCCTCTATGAAGCCCTCCACCTCTTTCTCCTCCCACCCCACAACCACCTGCTGCAGCTTTAGCACACCAGCTCACCTATGGCTCTGCTCAAACACTGTAAAACTCCTTGATGCAACACAATAGCAAGTAGTAATACTGGAGTAATTCAATCATCATGGCACCAGAAACTGATGCTAAAGAAGAATAGTGATAGAGCGAGCCCCGCCCTGCAAATTGACAGGATTAGTTCCTGAGGTTTGATACGTAATGATGTGTCTTATCGATATTTAAAACAAACAAACAAACAAACAAACACTGCATGAACATGTCACCAAGGTAAAAATCCAGACTTTCAGCCACAGTTGGTCTTTGTAAACAACTGTTTCAATGTCCACTTTCTTTCATTAGGAGCAAGAGTAATTCATTTGTTGTTGCCTGTTAGCGTGGTTGAAAA